TAGTCCATTATTTTCTTTTTCGGTATTTAATCAATAAGAAAGATAGCATGGAAATTAGTCTGGATAGTTTGAACCACAAGATGACGTGTAGTAAGATGGAAAAGCAGCAGGCTGGCTAGGGTAAATTGGTTTGTTTAGGAGACAGTGTTTCATAAAAGTGGAGTTTGCAGGGTAGTACCCTATGAGGAATGGATGATGACTTGTGTTGATGATCGCTTTATTAAGTATAGTACAACTTAAGAGGCTTTCTGTGGCTATTTATTTCTACTATAGACGACTTTAGTTTGCCATTTTATGAAGTGTTTATGCGATAAAGTGTTGCATAACAATAAAACATTTAAGTTGTTTTGATAGCTGCAGTTCCTCCTGGGAGCGATGAGTTATTTGTTATTATTCTATGCGCTTTCAATTGCCTTAAAGTCTGCAATTCGTCGCTTTTATCTACTTCAGCTCCAAAGCTTCTTGTGTTTTGGCCCGTTGTGATGTGTAAGTGGGTAGCCTTAGTGTTTAATCATTTATATTGGTGCATCTCTTAACTAGTCATCTATAAGGTATGATTAAAAGGTTTTAGAATAATCCTGTAATATTTTATTTACTAAAAAATTGTCGACTTCTGCTATATTCTATTTTAATATTGCAAAGAAAATAGCAGCTTGCTTATATTTCTACATATTTTGACTTCAGGTTATCTTCTTACTCTTACGACAATTGAAAGTTGAAATGACTGATTATGAATGCCAAAGTTCCTAATTATTGTAAAAAAGGTAAAATACTTTGCTACTCATTTTCATTTTTTTTCAATCAGGAACCGCAATGCTGCCAGCTTAAAAGATGTACAGTCCCAGGTTTTTCCTAATGGTCGCTTATGACTTGTTTATTGTTTGTGTGCGGGGTTGTTAGGAAAATTGTAGACTGTAGGTCATTTTTAGAGATTCCTTTTTGTATCAGGTGATAGAATAAGGAATTTTGATCATTTTATTAAATAAATGAAAAATCGTAGACATGGACAATTTTATCTAGATGCAAAGGACACTGTAAAGTTGGACTTTTAAGTCGAGTAATCAGAAATGTCTTCTATTTCAAAAGTCTACACAGTATAAGAAAGCATTTTAAAATTTCGGTGATTTTGCTATTTACTTTGCTGTCTCGGTGCTGTGTTTGAAAAACGTATTTGCTCCACGGAAACTTTGCCATTCTAGGGGCCGTAATGCGACCCACGAGTCAGAAAATGACTTTAAATTAAAGCTAGTTTCCACTCATCATAAACGATCACCCACTTGCGTAGTCTTCGTCCTGATGCATTCTCAAAACGCTTAATTTCAGGCACTATTCTAAGAAGCAACTAAAGTATAGTTGTGAGCTTCGGTAACATTTGCTCAAATAGGCTCCTGTCATCCGTCAGCTGAATAGAGAAAGACAAAGTTGGCTTCAGCGGATGAACTGAAGAGGATATCATTCTATAGCAGACCAGTAAAAGGCGAAATTTGTTTTAGCAGTTGAATGGACTCAGCTGTCCCTTCGGTTTAATTGAATATAAGAAGCTCACGTCATCCACTATGTGACAATATAAGGCAAATTGTGGTGCAAAAATGACGGAAAGTAGGAGAAAGATATTGTGTTGGCTGCATCGCAAGACTTGGTTTAATTAAAAGTGCCTGAGGAAAAAAAGATGGAATAAAGTGATGACACAGATGAAGGAACCTTCTTCCCCTCCACCCCCTCTGCAATCCCATCCTTTCTTCTCTATCTCTCTTCCTCTCTCTTCGAGCTCCCTCTCTTTTACCGCACAATTTCAACCACAAGAGCACTATTTACATCAGGAACTTAATTTAGGTATTTAATTTAGGACAAAAACACGATTCTTTTGCTGCATGTAATGTGCCACAACTGATATAGAGCATACTAAGACATCTTAGTTGTTATGGATATAGCCAAAGTTTTTGAGAAGAAAGAAGGAAAAGATGAGAGGCTTTACGCATACTGGACCTAATTACAGGCAGAGCAAATTGAAGGTTACTTAACATCATGCCAGGATGAATAAATTATGCAGGTAAGTTTGATTGATATTAGGGGCGACCGTCTGTCTCTATCAAAGCTAACAATTTGGTGCTACCTCCACCAAGTACTGATTTCAGTGTTTTTCTCGACTGTATCCAAAACAGATGCTAGCAAACCTGATAAACTTGACCTTGGCTTGTTGATTTTAGGACCGAGAAAAGTTATTAAGAAGGTCAAATTTATCCTTTCCCACTGCATGTATATTGACTGGCATAGGTAATTCCACTGCCTTGTCTTGAGGGTAAGCCTTATCTGTTATAATTTAAAGGCTACCTTTTCCATCTGGTGCTAATGCTCCGGTTTAATGGTTTGGGCGTACGCTGTGAATTGCGGCCTTTCTCCCTGCGATGATGACTATGCTCCA